GGCCTCGCGGCGGGCCTCGCGGCGGGCCTGGAGACATTACAGTTGTTTGCCCCAGTTCTGCCTCATGTCCCGCCCCGGTGGTCCCGGAGGTCCCGGAGCGCCCCGGTGCGTGGGTTCAGCTCAGCGCGTCGCCCGCTCTGGCGGAACCGGGACTACTCTCCCACTCTCCCTTCACTGACCACGACGGTACCTCTGGCACCCAAGAGGTCGACGACCAAGACCCGAGAAGAGCCTGTTAACGTTCTGGGGGTGGCAGGCTTGGGGATCGGTCAGACAGAAAGTGCGTCCGCTTTTCTCATGTTCCTTCGGCAAATTCACGGGAGCAAAGCGCCTGCGAGACTCGGGGTAGGCCACCCCGCAGTACGCGCATGCACCGCAGGGAAGTTGTTGCCTACCTATCAGGCGCTACGGGGAGCTTGCAATGGCTGAACCGAGCTGAACTTTGAAATTTCGTAAAGCAAATGACGGCGACGTTCTTCCTGGAAGCTCCCGCGTCGAAAACTCGACTGACGTCACCCCGCCGCATCGTCATTAGTTGAGTGCGGTTGAAAAGGGCAGAGCCATGCAATAATTTCAGGTCGATTTTTCTTAAGACAGTTCCATTAATTTTCTCCACCTTGGTACTGGAGTTGAGTGCTTGATTGAGCGCGCGAGGGGGTGAAAACACTCTACAGACTCGTGATTGCATGTGAGTTCTTGGGTTGTGGAATGTGGATGGGGTAGCGAGCGGCGCAGCACAGCATTCAGCGAACAAGGCACTTGAAGTTGTCTAAACCCTCGTTTGAGTCAAATTAAGTGAACAATCCCAGGAAACAAGCAAAACTGACAAATTAACTTGGGATCCCCCATGGTAATCGACTGATTTGATTTACTTCGGGGTTAGCTAGCGGTACCAAGCAGCACAGCAGAGCAGTCGAGCACCGCAAGTATTCCTCATGAACAGCTCCCGGTCCCGGGCCGGGCTCAGCCGGGATGCAACCAGGGTGCTTACCGTGCGTCACGATGTTGACGGTCTCATTGTGCAGGTAGAAGAGGCTGCGCAAAGAGCCCCAGAAGTTGGACATGGGCCGGTAGCCCGTCACGATGTAGGGGTTGAACTGTAGGTGCTGAGGCACGTCGTCGAAGGTCAGGAGCTTGGGCTGCTTGGCGTCGACTGCGTCCAACAAGCCGAGTTCCGAGGCCTCCCTCTCAACCGGTCGGGTTTCCTCGTCGCGGCGAGACACCGCAGCCTTGCCCTGGACATAGCCGTTGTTGCCCGGCGTGGAGGACGCCGACGACACTCCCTTAGCGCCATCCTGGACGGGGGACGCAGTTTCCGGCGGACAGAACACCTAACACAAAATTATCGAAACGGAGTCAGCATCTTGTACTAGCAGTACGACCTTGGCCGGGTAAAGGGCCTTGTAGGTTCTGAATACCTGGTCGCCGTCAGGGTCCCTCCGCCTCCGGAGCACAGACTGGTCGTAGACATCGCTGCTGCCGTTGGCCACCCGGCTGGCCAGCGATGCGAGGCCGTCGTCGCCAGCCAGCTGCTGCCGGTGGTCGGGGGCTGTGGCAGGTGCGGAGACAGGTGCGGACATGGCAGCTGCGGCTACCCTCTCAGCCGGCTGGGGCTGCGGCCCCGGGGGGCCCTGGGGCGGCATGCGGGCCCCGGGGGGGCCGGGGGGGCCCGCCGGGGGGACCCCTGGAGGAGCCTGGGCCTCAGCCTCAGGCCCTGGGTGCGCGTCAGGCCCGTCAGGCCCCGTCCACTACACACGTCTTACGTATCGCGGGTTGCTCGCGGTGCGGCGCACGGGCGGCCAGCCCTCCAGACCTCGACACCCGGCGGAGCCAGGCGCACTCAGCCCGTGCCATGGGCCAGGCCAGCCTGCCGAGGGGAGCGCCATGGGTCCGCCAGGCCATGGGGCGGGAGCCATGAGGAGGGGCGGGGCACTGCAACTTGCAGCACCGCGGCAAGGCAGGGGTCTGCGCATGCGCACATCATCGGCGCCCTGGCCCCATGGCTGGCTTGGCCTGGCCCATGGCAGGGTCCTCCGAAAGAAAAGGGAGGGGGAGGGGTAAGAGAGAGGAGAGAAGGGGAGGGGGGCTAGTATTGATCATTAAAGAGGACTGGGCCAGCGGGCCAGCCTGCACCCCCCAGCCCCACCCCCTGCTCCCGACCAAGGTCTCAATCCCCCCCTTCTCCCCAGTTGGTTTTATTGTTTTATTTTACCGATTTCAGCATAGAATTCTATTGGTTGTACTTCAAACTTAAAAGCAACTATTTTTTAATGGATGGAAACCTAATTAGGAAATGGATAATTTTTAGCTGGGGGTGGGCGACCTTGCGCGAGGTGGGACATTCATTTGTGCTGTCAACGGCATTAATGCCCTTTTCCTGACAGCGCAACGGTGGTGTTGGCACGCCCCGAGCAGCGTCGTGGCTCGTGGCGCGGCCGCTCGCCCGTGACGGCTCTCGCCTCTACGGAAGCCAACGGCAGTATGGCAGGCCACGCCGTGTCCACGCCGCTTCAATCGACCTCGATGCCCGACAGCTTCGGAGCGAACCGATCCGAAAGATAGCCCATCTCTTATCCGATATCTGTTTCAGTTCCGCTCCGCGCGGACCCATGCGATCTAGCATCTAGCAAACAGTCCGCCCCAACAATGGACATCACGTCTAGATACCATTCACATCATGTGGTATAAATAATTCCAAAGGTGTATTGGTGCTGCCAGCAGCTGGCTGAGAACTGTTTATTTGTGCAGATCCCAAATACATTTTTGACAACCCTTAGAAAAAAAAGGGACCACAGTTGCATGTGCCACAAAAGAAATTCCCACCCTATGCACATTAAAAACAAAATTGATAGTGACAAAATAAAAGAAATGTACCACTAAACAACATGAACAAAGCAATAACAATTGAGTGAATAAATCATGGTGAAACAGGTCTCACACATCACCATGCAGTGAGTTCACAAAGATGTGTACACATTCTTATTCAAATCCCACCTATTGGTCGTGAAAAGTTAGCACCCTATGGCCTGCATGGGCTTCACAATGAAAAAACCAAGGCTAAAAATATAGACCGATTACATTGTCTCCGTACACACTGACAAACCACCAGAGATGCAATACTTCAAGAGAAACACCCACCAAGTATATGCCTTGACATACAGCAGTCCATAACAATACCAGACAACATATCAACTAGTATAACCATCATTAGTTGGTGTTTGTACACAATTAGATTAAGTAGATAACCAGAAATGCAAAAGCTTTCCATGACACAAGTTTAAAACTTGAGCAAACTATCAGATCCACAAAGCATAAAATTACCAGTCAAAACTCAAAAAGTAAAATTTAAGGCCCATGGAAGAGTTCTGTTTCTTGTGTATCACAGAAATGTACTTATTTCAGATTTTTGGACTCAACAAATATTTTGAAGTATATTTAAAGTTACAGGATTTCAAATGCAGAGAATACATTTATTAAAAAAATACTTTTTTTTCAAATGATAAAAATATTAGGTTATCATGGCAAAAACAATGGAAACAAGAGTAAGGCACCATGGAAGTACTGATACAGTAGCATCATAATACACAAGAGTAGCACTGTTTGATGCACTTCACAATGCACCAAATTAGTGTTAATTTCATTATTTAAGAACATAATATAAAATAGTATTCTTAAAAAATCCAATTCAAACTGAGATGTGGTGAAGAGAATATAGGCCACAGCAGTTACACATTTCATACAAATTATGGAGGTATTTTTCAACAAATTGGGTCGATCGATACAGGCTGTATAAAAATTGCAAATATGCATTCTCTCAGAAAATTCATACTGAACCATGAAAATAACAGAAAACACTTTAACTTAATAGTTTACTGCATCTGGCACAAGTCATGTTTGAAGCGAGGATGGATACTAGTAACGTCAGTTTAATACCAGTTAAATTACACCTTTACTAGAGGAACTACAATTTATTACACCGAACAGATGAGGATACAAACCAATCCAGAGAATAATTAGTTTAACCCATAGCTACCACATGTCACATGGATAGATGGATCATATTCTAATGAATCTGATTAGTTCACACAGGCATAAAAGCTCAAAAAATCCTCTTCTTTCCAGCTCTAGCATTTTAATTTACAGTCTCAAAACAACAGACTGACCACACATATTACAGGTTTCCAAATTCTAGATGAAGGACTAGGCAGCAGGTGAGTAGCCCTTTACTGCAAGATTAAAAACTTTAAAAAACATTAATGATGGACTCCCTTCCCTTTCCAACTCCAATCCAACGAACTGAAAGGAAAAAGAAAGGAAGAAAATTAGAATTAATAATGTTTAAAGGGGGAGTAGGGATAATCATAAATAGGTACAATCACATATCACTTACTGGGTACTTCCACAAGCTCTTCCAATTTCCGAACATAGTTCTTAGCATTCTCGGGAAGTTGTTCAAAATCTCTGACATCTTCAATGCTGGTCATCCATCCAGGTAGTGTCACATATTCAACCTACAAAACAAACATTAAAAAAAGAGGGGGGGGGGGGGGAGAAAAAAAGACACCAATGTGAAAGGAAATCAGCTTAGCAGTAAAATAAGTTCAGAAACTTTAATTAAGTTACCTCAACGGTGGCAAGTTCAGCTGTGCTTGAGGGGAAATAATCAAGGACTTTTCCATTTTTCTTGTAGGCCACTGCAACCTTCAGCTCAGGTAGTACATCAAGGATATCGAGTTTGGTCACACACAACCTAAATTACAGAAATGAAAGATTTTGTAAAAAGGGACATTTTTACATAATTTCCAATAATTTTGAAACCTCCTTAGATGCACTTACTGAGTGTAGCCATTCACAAGAGTGGTGTGTTTTAAGAGTGGTATGTCCAACCACCCACAACGTCTTGGCCTCTTAGTTGTCACTCCAATTTCATGACCTCTGCTTTGGAGCAAAGCTCCAATATCCTAGAAATATGGTTAAGTAAATGTAAAAATACACCTAAGAAGTATTAAATCAATCACTTGTTGTAAGTTTCAAATAAATTATACAAACTGACATACATCAGTTAGCTCTGTCATGAACGGGCCATCACCAACACGTGTTGTGTAAGCTTTCACAACACCGACAACAGTTCCAATACTGACTGGCGGTATTCCCAAACCCGTGCAAACACCACCTATACTGCAGTTTGATGATGTGACATATGGGTAAGTTCCTGGATTGCATGAATAAAAAAAAAGAGCCTCTTAGAATGGATCAACTATTTAAAAACTACACTAAAATGCTGATAAACTTAAAAATTACAACCAACCAAAATCAATATCCAACATTGCAGCATTGGCACCTTCTACAAGGATTTTTTTGTGTTGACGTAAGGCATCATGAAGAAATGATACAGTTTCACAAGTCAAAGGTCTAACACGTTCGGCGAGAACTTTATACCGTTCGAGCTCTGCAGGGACATCCACAATTAAATCTGGGAACATCCGTTGGTAGTGTGCTACCAAGGTTTGGAACCTAGTGAAGCAAAGTTACATTTAAAATTCATATAACAATATTGAAGGTTGACTGATAAGTATCACTTACTTTTCAGAAAACAGACTGAAATCACCCAACAAATCTGCTATTCTAATACCATTTCGAGTGGCCTTTGATGAGTATGCTGGACCAATACCTTTCTTGGTGGTGCCAAGCGACTTTTTGCCCTTTTCCTGCTCCTGAAGCCCATCAACTTGCTACAATCATAAGATAGATAGAGAAATTACTAAATATATATCAATAAAAAATGGTGAGAAAAAAAATCAAGGGGGTGAGAGAATTCATTTGCATTGACAGTATGAAAAACAAAACAAGACCACTCACTTGATGGAAATCAAAGACAATATGAGCGCGGTCCGATATGAGTAGACGGTCTTTCCAGTGAATGAGACCTTTGGCTTCATTTTTTTCAATTTCTTCAAAGAGTCCGGGGAGGTGAATCACAACACCATTACCTGCCAGACAACAATGCCGAAGGATTATTATTTTATTTTTATTTTTTAACAGAAAAATATTTAAATGCAACAGGAACACTGTTGGACTTCCCTCGCGATTAATGTGGTCAACGAATGGGCGGGGCGAAGAGACGACGCGTGGGGTGGGGTAAGGTGCGGTGGGGTAAGGTGGGGTGGGGGCATCGCGAAGGGCAGTGACCGGACGGGCATCAATCGGGCGGCTAGAGCCTCGCTATCTCTACTGCCATGACGCTTCAAGTCGCGGCCACGGACTGAGAGCAGGCGTTTCCCGCTCCCGCGACCGACCGCCCCCGCCCCCGCCCGCCCGGGGGAGAGGCAGGGTGAAGAGCGCGGACCTGTAATAATAGCTCGCATCGCCCCGTGCCGCGTTTGGCGTCGGCCCAGTATTAGCCAGGTCGTTTCATTCTTCAGGGTGGGGTGTTTGTGTTCGGCTCGAAACGGACAAACAGATCGCGTGCGGTACGGCCCAACTACCCGGACCGAAACGCGAGGGGAATGCACATGGAAGGCCCAAAGAAGGGATGCGGCGCCCCTATGGGATAAAATGATTACGCCAGAAAGCTGGGTACGAACAAACCCGCGCTCGGCCCACCCAATCACTTGACGGTATCTAAAGGAATTAAAATATCAAAGGAAGAGAGAGAGAGAGAGAGGGGGGGGGCTTCCAACCGGCGCATCGAAGGTCGGGCTTCGCTCACGACATTACTTTCAATTTTCCAAGCTGTGGTCGGGCCTTGTGCGGAGCCGTACGCCCCGAGCCACACCGCGGTTCAATATAGCGGCATGCGGGAGGGATGTCACCGAGGTGCACCGCAGCCCGCGTGCGGGGAAGGGAGTGGAGGGGAGGGCAGGACTGGCGTCATCATAAAGTAAATGAATGCAAAAGTTGCTTGGCTATTCATACGTACCTATCACAGACTTGCACTTGGGGTTGATGATACCGCTGGGCAAGAGGTGGAAGTCGTATTCCCTGTCTCCCACCACAACAGTGTGGCCTGCATTGTTTCCTCCCTGACAAAAGAAAAAGCAGAAGATACAAACTACGTTTTACAAGAGCATCAGTGGTGGTAGTAAGAACGTGTGTTAAACACAGAACAACAGAAAGGTCAAGTTTCTTCTAGTCTGTACAGTCCCTTGGCACACTTGGCACCCTCTTTCCAACAAGTGTCCAAAGACTTTCTCTGGTTGGCAAAAGCTCAAGAAATTTTTTTGATACAACAAATACTGCATGATTCCAATATTACAACTATTTACTGCACTAACATCGTACCATATTAAATTTCCTCCTATAGAAAATTGAGAACTACAGAAATTTAAAAACTACTCTGCCTTATAAAGTTTTCTAAATCACAGAGTAAATTTAGGTTTATTCACACACATAGATTTAATGTTGAATGAGTCAAACTTCCAACTTGGAAGTATTTCAAGCCTTCAAGCAAAGAGAATCCCGTTCTTATAAAAAAAGTGAATATCCACTGATTTGACAAAGCTGTGAATGAGAGCATATGAAATTTTTTGATTAAAACTTCATCTAACCTCTAGGAGAACCGTAATGTCTGGGATAACAAGATATGCGGCCCTCGCCGAAAAACTTAAATTGATTTTTTTTAGGTTACAAACGACAATCAAAGTGTACATTAAAAAGAACTTGTCAAAGAACGTGACAGCAAATAGTAAGATAATAAAGTTAGTCTTTACCAAATGAGTAAGCTTCAGGCACACAGATAGAAAAAACTAACGATTTGGACGACGAATAGTTACAATAATTTCATTGCACAATTGATAACGAAGTTGAGCACATTGCTGAGTTTCCATCTCCGGCCGACAATGGAGAGGAAAGTAGGAGGGCGTGACTAATGATCGTACAAAATGAAAAAGGCATGCAGAGCAGTTCACAGACTAAGGCCATAATTTTGAAACGAATTAGAAACTTACCTGACACCGACACACAACATCAACGTCGGTTGCAAGCATATCAACGACCTTCCCCTTGCCTTCGTCGCCCCATTGAGCACCTAGGACAACCGTCACTTTTGCTGCCATTTCAGTCCGAGACTTGCGTCTCGGCGAATTCGTAATTTCACCATTCATCTTGACGGAACTATTCGACATCTACCAATTACGAATATCCATCAAACGATATGAAGCGGGCGGGAGCGCGTGAGTACAACCGACACCAGTCACTCCGCGAAACGAAGTCACATGCAAAAGACAGTACACGACACCAGATGTCGCTGCTGTGCTCGAAATTAAACTCCAAACAAACAACAAAAAAACAATAACAACATGCACTGTAGCCAACCCTAGCTATGAAAAAAAATATTTAATATTTGCCTTATCTTAAACTTAATATTTAGGTTTTAGAGCTATTCTGTCAAATTTGGAGAAACAAAAACTTGCAAAACTTCCCATATAAATTTCGTCATGAATGCGGTACACATTTCAGGGTTGGTAACATTTATGTATTCGAGATTTCCAGAGCATTTCTGAAAGGCTGTGTTCGTTCTCCGACAACTTCCTCTTCCGAGTGGTCTTTCATGTGCGGCACAGTGCATTGAGCAAAATGACGACCACCATTTCAAAGAAACGAAAGGTAATATTTGAAAATTTCAGGACTTTGTACCCACGGAAAGATTTTTAAGAATTTCTTTTAACCGTACCACTTTATTTTGAAGTGTGTATATGCTCCCATTCGGCTTTATTTATCCGATGACTTCGGATTTCGACCGGGCTTGGCACCCACCGACATGGAGTACGTGTTCAACATAATGTTGTAAATTACCGATGTACTCTGTATTATTGTAATGTAGTAACTTTTCGGAGTTTTCTCTTATGGAATTTACCCTTTATCTTTTGCTTTTCACAGTTTAAACATGTTCTATCCTCCGGTGAACAACATAACCTAACCTTTGTAATAGTTCTGTTTACACATGTTCTTGTCTGTCTGTACCAATATTTTCCTACGGGCACTTTCAAAGTGACTTCCTCGGACTGTATTTGGAGTTCGGCGTGTACCACTTTGGAAAATTCGTTCTCTTCGTATGTGTTGTGTCTTAACCAAAATCCCCTTGTTATTTTGTTTTAGTTCGTCGGAGACGGAGTCTTCAAAGCTGAGCTCAACGAGTTCTTGACTCGTGAGCTCGCTGAGGATGGTTACTCCGGCGTGGAGGTCCGTGTGACCCCCTCCCGCACTGAAATTATTATCATGGCCACTCGCACCCAAAACGTTCTTGGAGAGAAGGGCAGACGCATCCGTGAGCTCACCTCCGTTGTGCAGAAGAGGTTCAACTTCCCCGAGAACTCTGTAAGTAAGAAGTTTTCACTGGTCATTATAGCATCTTGTACCGCTGAGGAATGTTTTTGTCCTAGAAGACTTGTCAAAATGTATGGGGAGGACCCTTCTCCTAGTTCTACATTTTTAGTCTGATTTAAGGAGTCCTGGTGGGTCCTAATTGTCTCCTTCCTTGGATAACAGGTTGAATTGTATGCCGAGAAGGTTGCTACCCGTGGTCTGTGCGCCATTGCTCAGGCTGAATCCCTCAGATACAAGCTGATTGGTGGTCTTGCTGTCAGGAGGTAAGTTAAATTGTGTTGCTATGAAAGGGCTCTGTTGCTTGACATCTTGCTGGTTTAAGCTAGTTGTTTTCTTAACGGGCCAATATTAAGGTGTGGCCTTCTGACTGGTATTATATTTTATATTATCACTAGTAGTCCAAAGCCACCAACATTTATTCTTGCCAGCAATGTGTTCTGTTCAGATGCCATGAAACTTGTTTAAGCGTCATCTTTTCCACAGGGCTTGCTATGGTGTTCTCCGCTTTATCATGGAGAGCGGTGCCAAGGGTTGCGAGGTGGTGGTCTCTGGCAAGCTGAGGGGACAGCGTGCCAAGTCCATGAAGTTCGTTGATGGTCTTATGATCCACAGTGGTGAACCCACCAATGACTATGTTGACACAGCTACTCGTCACGTGCTCCTTAGGCAAGGTATGTATCTTGTCATTTTAATTTGAATCTGAAGCCCCATCTGACTGTTGTCTAATATATTCAATCCTTTCAGGTGTCCTGGGAATTAAGGTTAAAATTATGTTGCCCTGGGATCCCAATGGCAAGACTGGACCCAAGAAGCCTCTGCCTGACAATGTATCTGTGGTGGAGCCCAAGGAAGAAAGTCTTCCTCTTGTTCCATCAAGTGATGTTAAGGCAAGCAAACCTGATGCTGCACCAGTTGTTTGAACTACTTTAATATAAAAATTAAGAAAACATGTATGCTATTTTTTATGTACCGGTAGTCTTTCACAAGGATCACACAATTAGGCCAAGATCAGGGTTGCACAACTTATTTTATTTGCTTATTGGCAATTATCACAATTGAATGTCAACTCCTGGCCGTTTAACTCGCATAGCTATGCAATCTCTCCTTACTAGCTAAGGAGGCCCTTCTTGAACAGGACCATTCACAGAAGGGTCTGAATCTGGACAGAGTGCAAAAGCCACAACACAGTAATACAGATGCTTAATCAAGTACCTCAAGTGCAGGGGTGGGGAGGGGAACATCAGTCTTATGTAGCATGACTCTAAATTTACAAAGGACAGGACAAATGTCAAGCAAAATTAACTTCCAAATACTGTTTATAAGTTTCAAAATACTCTGAACAACAATCAAATTTGAAACCTGTGAGGTACATGAAATTTCTCAATTTAGCACTCAATTTCAATACCAAGATGATCAATAACTTCCAGTATCATACTTGACATGATGAAAACATTATCACAATGACTAGGGCAAAAAATTAATAAATATCTGCTTCCCACGAATTATGTAATACAGAACAACTTTTGTCCCTTCTCCACAAAATTAAATGTACCAGTTGAATAAAAGAAGAAAACAGGAACATCTAAACAAACCCAAGGAATTTGAGCCCAATGGAATGCATCTTTTTTTTTCTTTCTTTTCTTTTTTGGGGGCCATTTAAACCACAACCTTGCTCATACTATTAGAAAAATTGTAGATATGTACAAAGTATTTTCATGTAATTATATACATTTGTACAATGAGCAAAAATTTCAGTAATTATGAAAATAGATCAGTGCTCACCTCATCACAACAAACATTATTTAAACCAACAAATTATTGGGTACATTACTTATGTCTTAAGTCAAATAAGGCAGAAAAAACAAAGCAACCTGTTTTGAACAGAATTAAATTTTCAAAGAAACAGTGCGGTGGGGGTTGGCTTCAAGGTTGAGGTCTTCGATAACGGACAATAATGATAAGAAGCCCAAGTAGCGCTGTAATGAGGTAGAGATCCCAGTATGGCCCAAGCATTTTATTCAGATTGAATAAGAAAAACCAATCCTGCCATTCAATCTGAAATTAAAGTTTACGATTCAGTGTTACTGTTAATTTATTAAGAGTAAGGAAGTTATGGTTCTTCTATACTTACTTCTTCAAAGTATTTAAGACCAAAAATAAATGATAATTTCATAAGTGCTAAGTACACAGGCACTTTTGCATCGTTGTTTGTTTCTGCTGCTCTGTCATAACAACGTTTCGCTAAGTGAATGTCCTAAAAAAAAAAAAGAAGAACAATCAACAAAGAGATTTGAGAATACACAAATGCTAATAGTTCAGAGAAATTGAAATGGTCTTTGAAAATTAAAATTACCTGCTGCATGCCAAGTCCTTGTTCATGCATGTAACCCAGATTAAACATAGCCTGAGCATTATGCTGGTGATCAGAAGCATGACGATAATGGGAAGCTGCCAATTCAAAGTCTACAGGTGTTCCAAGCCCATAATAATGATAATCTCCGAGTTTAACTTGTGCAGCGGAGTACCCTTGAGCTGCTGCTCTTCCCCAATACATGAGAGCACGCACAAACATTTCTTCCTGGCCTGAGAAAAGAGGCAAAACCTCACCTGCAAACATTTTTATTTTTATTTTTTGGGGGGACTGTTAAAGATTTTACAAGTACAATTAATAAGTTAAGCGTAAGAGAGTATATTTTCATTTTACCTCTATCAAGTACAAAGGCAGCATTGCCTTGGGCAACTTCATAACCAAGTTCAGCAAGTAGCGCATATGTTACAAATGCCTCTTCGAAATGACCATGTCTGTAGTGCCAGTGTGCCTCCATCAGTCGGTTACCCCATTTACCACGCTCAGCAACATTTTTATAAAGCTGCAAAAAAATTGGGCAGCTTATAGTATACCATGAGAAAACATACCTCACTGCTTCATCTCACATTTTAAACAGAACAGAGGTACTTGCCTCTACAGCCATAGAGCATGATCGCAACATGCCGGTACCAGTTGCATGCATTTGTGCAAGATTATAGTATGCAAGCACATGGCCTGACTGAGAAGCCAAAGCAAATAATTTGTTGGCCATTCTGTAATTTCTTCTAACACCAAGACCACCTACAGAAACACATGAGTTAGTATTTTAAGCCAGGTATTCTTTATAGATTAGATAATTAGAAAAAAAAAATATGACTAGGGCCCTGTGAAAATTTACTTTATAAGAAGACATTCTAACAATCCTGGTTTCCTTTTAAGATTATATTAACATTTATGGCAAGATGACTTACTAAAGTACATGTTTCCAAGTTGAAGTTGTCCATCCACCCAACCCTGATCTGCAGCCTGAGTAAAATACTTGAGAGCTTTCTGATAATCCTTCTGAACTCCCCTGCCATGTAAGTACATCAGACCAAGTCCACTCTGACCTACAGGGTTACCCTGATCAGCAGCTTTTTTGAAGTACTTGAATGCCGTTTGATTGTCTTGTTTGATCATATCACTACCTTCCAGATAAATCTGCAAAGAGAATTTTGCTTGGTACTTTTGAAATATCCACAAAAACTTACAGTTTATATTTTTGATACGATAGTACTACCTTGCCCAGAAATGCCATTGCTGCTGGATTTCCTGCATCAGCGGCTTGCATGAAATATCTAGCAGCCTGTAGATGATCTTGCTGTACTCCCCGTCCTCCCTGATAATGAAGCTGACCAAGCCCAACCTGAAAATCAAAATAAAGATGGAAGTAGTATGGTGCAGTGGGAAATTTTCATTTCAAATATTTTTAAGACACCCACCTGGGCCTGAACATCTCCCTTTTCAGCCAGCAGTTGGTAATAATCAATAAGATCTTTATCAAGAATTCCAGAATTATAACCAGGATTCTCCGCCTCTTCTAAAAGTCTAACACGTTGAACCATGCCACCACCAGACAGAGAAACATCTTCTGCCACTGTAGTAATGGGAAATAAAATTAGATAGATTTATCTATCTGACTTATAAGTCATATTGTCAGAATACAAAAATTATTTTCAACCTACCTTTATTGGCCACCTTCCTGTAAAAATCCAATGACTTCTCACAGCTATTGGGCACAGTCGCTCCAGCAAAGTACCTGTAGCCAAGTGCCATCCTTGCCCACTGACTGCCACCTAAGGCAGCAATTGTGTAATGAACCAAAGCACGAGCCTGGCTAGCATTTACAGAGATACCAGTGGCAAAAAGAAAGCCTAAACCCTGAAATATTCAGATGTAAATTAGCACAGAAATTTTTTTAAAAAAAGATACTCCAGAAAACAAAAAGAGAACTATGCAAACCATGTGTGCTTCAGGTATATTTTGATTTTCTGCTAAATCATAAAATGTTTTCTTGGCTGACTCAATGTCTTGTTGGATGGGATTTGAACCAAGAAGTTCAGACCATGCCAAATGTAATCTTGCCTGGGTATGACCAAGACTCGCTGCTTGTTTTATTTGAGAATATGCTTCAACCATATTTGGATGTGTGGTGTTCAACGTTATCATTGCTTTTGTCCACAGTGACTCAGCTTAAAATGGAATAAAATAGAAATTATAACATGCACTATGTCAGACACCAATATTAATACATCCAGGACAAAATTAATACCTTCTTGCTCCTCTGGGGTTAAAATTTTTGGTGGTTCTTCCAACAGCTCCGGTAACTCTTTAATTGCCTTCGCAACTTCCTCTTGAGTAGTTTCTTCCTCAGGCTCAGAAACAACAGCATATGGCAAACCATTCATCTGTGGGGATTAGAAAGAAAGATTGCATAAGAAATAACACGTAGACATAATAATGAGACTAAGAAAGGTTTTTCAAGTTTAATATGTGTTTCAAACCTGAAGAAATAGGTTTTTGAGGAGCCTAGTCTGTGCTAGAGCAGCAGCAAGGTCGGGAGGAATACTATCCTCCTCCTCCGATGCACCTGACCCATCTTCGGTTTGATGTGGATCTCCTCCAGATAAGTCAGGGGCTGGAATCATTTTGATTGCTTCACTTTGAATCCCATCCACCTAAAAAGGAATGAATGATACAATGTAGTCAAAATTTTATTACTGATATGATTAAAGACAAAATTAAAATGGTATGTTTATTTATACCTGAACTTCGGGGCTATAGTGTATTTCATTTTCATCATCCTGCTTATCATCATCAGATTTCTGACGGTCAGCTTTACTCAAAAGGAAGTCATTGGCACAGCTAAAGGGAGTAAGGGCCAGAAGTAAACACAGTGCCAAAAGTTCCCTGCGCATGCTGTAGATCCTGAAAGTGAAGAGAATATTTGAAATAAAACTTCTAAAAATAAATAAAAATTTATTCTATGTAGTACGTTAAAATTAGAACGACTCTAGAGAAACTAGAAGACTTTTATTACAAATTGAAAGGCACCTGTCAAAATTTTTAATAATACATAACCTGTTTGTGTAACAAAACGAAACAAGAACATTATAGGTAAAAACTTCCAGCAAACTAGAGAAAATTATAAATAAAAGACGGAATACTGACGTTTTGAATCACCCACTCGGAAAGACGATAATGAGAAAACTTTGGCAATATGACGTGGAAAAAGATGATTGGTCTTTGTAGGCTTATGCAGTGTCAAACATCCCTACAATTCGATTTTTGTGGAAAATACATTACTCTATATATAATTTAAGGTTGAGGTAAGTTCACAGTGTCATCTGCAACCATAATTTACCAATCTGAGAGAGAGAATTAACAACATAAGTGAACCGGCTATAAATATTGAATGTTTCGGTATATTTTTGGTTAGTGTCGTCTGAAGAATATTGTGGTGGCAAGTATGAGAAATTATTCTTCCTTCGCTTTCAGTGACGTCACACACGCTCAGCCTCCGTTTGCGCGGTTCGCGGTTCGCGGTCCGCGAGCGCAGAGTGAGGAGGGCGCCGATCCCACGCCCCACGCTCCAATTTAATTGATTTGTCGCGGTGGTGAAGGGGTGGGTGAAGGGAGCGAAGGAAGTTCGCCAGCACAGGCTTACTCTGCATACCGCTCGTTTACGAAGATTGCCGTGGCTTGTTCGTCATGAAGTGACTTTAGAGTTAGTGGTTACTAGCAGTCTTCCTTGCATCATCCTAAGCATTAACGTTTTAGACGTTCCCATCACATTTACCCATTGATCGGAAGAAAACAGAACGATGAGTGACGATCGAGAGAATCAGGACAGTGCAACGGCTGGAGATAGTCTCCTCAAGCCCGACGAGAGCAAGGAAAATGTCGCTGAAGTTGAAATCTCAGAGAGCCAAGCTTTGGCAAGTCCAGGCAGTAAGGCTGAAGTGAAGTATGTAAACTCTGGTTCCCAAAATGGGGATGCTAAGATCGATATTGAAACTGTTCGCCAAGCCTTTGTGGGAATGGGAAAGGAGGAGCTGATGCGGTTTGCCAATGATCCCTTCTGGGTACGAACACGATGGATTTTGTTTTCTCTCTTCTGGCTGTTGTGGCTGGCGATGCTTGTAGGAGCTATTGCCATTATTGTACTGGCGCCAAGATGTGCTGTTCAGAAGAAGGCCCAATGGTGGGAAAGGAGTCCTTTGTATGAAGTTAATGTTCGCTCATTCAAAGATGGGTCTCGTATGGCCGATGGTATCGGTGATCTTCAAGGTAAAGAGGAAATTCCTACACCACTTATAGAAAATTGTGTATGCTTGTAAGAGTTATTTAACTTAAGACTGTCTATTCATTTTTCACAGGAATGCACAGCAAACTAGACTACATCAAAGACCTTGGAGTGAGCGGTGTCATTTTGTCCTCTATCTTTGCGACTTCTCCATCAACGTCTCCAGAATCTGTCACAGATTTCAAGGCTGTTCATCCTGATATAGGAACAATGGATGAGTTGAAGGAGCTTTTAACTGATATGAAAGCTAGAGGTATATTTGCTTTATCCTTCCTCCAATTTTCAAGTTTGAACTGTGATTTCATGAGTTAATATTTTTCTTTCAGATCTTCGTTTGGTTTTGGATCTAGTACCTAACCACTCAGGCAAAGACCACAAATGGTTCCAAGACTCTGTAAAGAAAATAGCTCCCTACAAGGACTACTACATTTGGTCGGCTGGGAAGGGTGGACCTAATCAGCCTCCTAACAACTGGGTATGTCCTGTCATACTGAATAATGAAGTAAAATTTATCCATATTTTGTGCAAAGTTACTTATTGTGTTTTATTTTAAATTAAGCAAAGTGTCAAGGGGGGATCTGCTTGGGAGTGGAATGATGTGAGAAATGAGTTCTACTTGCATCAATTTGAATCTGGACAACCTGACCTTAACTTCCGTAATCCTAAGGTCAAAGAAGAATTCAATGTAAGGCTTACTCTTGTAGTTTCAGAATATGTCAGTGTATAATTTGTGCAAGATTACTAATTTTGTTTCTTTGACAGGCCATTCTGAAATTTTGGCTGGCTCTTGGAGTGGATGGTTTCCAACTCAGGAAAACTGCATTCCTATTTGAGGATGAGAAGCTTCAAGGTGAGCCGCCAGGATCTAAGCCAGGCACCACTCATGACAGCTACGAATTCTATGATCACAAGTACACGTCACACCTCTACGATTCTTTCAAGTTGGTTGAACAGTTTAGATCTGTTGTCAGCAATACAAGTGAGGACAAGTAAGTCTTCCCAAAATGTCTCTACTCCAGGTTTTATTCTTCAAAAAAACTAATTGTTTGTCTATATTTTTTTCCTCCCATGTTCTCTTCAGAATTTTACTGATACGAGATGAGTTCCCTATTTTTAACTTCCCACACAACGGAGAAGCAGATAACAGTACAGCTGCAGCTGGAGACCTCCTTCAAACGCCAAACATTTTGGCAAATTTGCAAAATATCAGCGCTGCTGATTTAAACAAAAGAATCTTCAGTGCTATTGATCGATCTCCAAGTCACAAGCCAGTGTGGGCTGTAAGTTTTACTATATTGTGCTAGTTTGTTCTATGAGAAAAATTGTGAAAAGTTAATAATATAATTTTTTAATGGATACAGCTAGGTGATACAGGAAGCCAACGTTTGGCATCAAGGTTTTCACCAGGCTTGGCTGATGCTATGATGATGGTATCATTACTGCTTCCTGGAACACCCATAACTCTCTATGGTGATGAGCTAGGGCTAAAAGATGTACAAAATCCTGGCCAGGAGGCTCTAGGCCCTATGCCCTGGGATTCCTCAACTCATGGTGGTAAGTAAATCAAAGAGTATTCATTTACTTTTTGTGTTCAGTGTCATGCTTAATGATGATATTGTACTAATTCTACTTTTGTGTCACCAGGATTCACGTCTGATACCATTCAACCGTGGATTCCCATAGGCAATTCTGTGGGCATAAATGTTGCTGCTCAAAATCTAACAGAAGAGAGTCGCCTTAAAACATTTAAGGAGCTTGTTTTAACTAGGAAGACTATGGTTGCTGTTTTGCTTGGCAAAACCAATATATCTGTTCTTAATGCCACTAAGGCAGATGGCAGTACTGTAAGAAATTCTATTCTTGCATTCACTCGCACTAAGAGTGGGAACCCAGGAGTTCTTGTTGCTGTCAATCCCACAAAAGAAAAATTAACAGTAAATTTTGAAGGCATTCTGGGAGATACAGTGAAAGAATTGACTGTTCATGTAAAAAGCTATGGCTTTTCTAATGACGATCTCAAAGTGAAGTAAGTATTTATGAGTCAGGTTTTGCCACTATAACCTAATATTTTTATGACATTACAACTAAAATTAATCTTAATTTTTATAGGGGTAAAACTCAAGCTGACGCTGTTTCACTTTCACCTGAAGCTGGTGTGACATTTACATTTGTCTACAACCGTGAAGAAGAGTGATATGCTGTGTGTCCTTTAGCTTTTGACTGTGGCTTAATTACCACAATAATGTGCTTGCCTTACTTAGTTTTAGAAACTACACTTATGTAGTGTGAATGCTTATGCTATGCATCAATCGCGTGATAATGAGCATGATTATGAAATATTGTAATCTTATGTGTCATCCTTTTACTAAAGTTGGTATGACCACTGCCAATATTCTTTTTAAGTTCTATCCAAACTGTAATCTCAATCAGTCCTATTTGACTATTCAGTCCATAACAGTATTTATTTCAGCTAGTTTTTGCCAAATTTTTGGAGAATAATCTCAAGTTTTTACAATTTTACTTATTTGAAAATTTGGGTTAACTATTTGGCTTATATATGCGCTCAGTATTAAAAATGCGCCTATGAGTTAAAATTATTATTACTCAATATTTATTATTTCAGTGGACATTTAAAAAAGAAAAAGAAAAAATTAGGTTGTGACTTGTTTTGAAAAGTGTTTGTACTGATTTATGTGACAAATACAATAATAGCTTCTTGACAATGATATCTTAGTGTATTACTTGCCATTCATCCCAATTCAGAAAAGTATAATCATATTTGAGTGTTGGCTCCTGTACTTCAATAAAGTGTTGGAGAAGACAGCGCACAGGTAGTTGTACAGCGTTACATCAAGTTGTCACACATTCTCCTACATGCGAAGAGGGCTGTGCAGTGCGCAGAGAGGCTCTGCCTTCCTCCAGACCCAAGGGAGCGTTAGATGGCCTTCCTCTGTGCACGATACGAAGGAGAGATACGGCAGGACAACGTGCGCGGGACACATGCATGCAATACTCTTCCAAGCACAAGGACAGATCTGTGCTTGTGGATACGTAAATGTACTTGCAAAAAGTGTCCGTCTCTGACATGAGGGTAATGTGAGCTCAAAGAGGGACTAGAAGTTTTCTTCTTCTTCTGCCCCCCTTTTTTTTGGGGGGGGGGGGCGTCGGGAATGTGCTGTGCTGTGGCATTGTCCTGGCGCGTCGATCTTGAGGAGCCGATAAAGCATGTTGTTAATTAGACGCTATCGCTGCGTGTCCTAACAGGGTACCAGAGACAAACTTTGTATGCAAGCAAATTACGTCAGCTGGGTTTATCTATCCAACTATCGTCCTCTCGACATCGAAAACGCCGAAACATGACCAGATAACTTCAGAACAATTCCACGTGTTACGAACAGGCAAATGTGATGATGGCAAGCCACTGCTTGTAATTTGGTTTGGGGGTGCGGCATATCCATGGTCTTGGAGAAAGCATCGATAATTGTCCCCGCCCCTCCCGGAAGGGACTTCCCTGGGCACTGAGCAAGCGAAGGCCAGCCGCGATTGTGTCTGGGTATGAGGGCCCCGGTCCGGCCCGGTCCGACGGTCAGCCGTCTTCTCGCCTGTCTTGTACCTGGCCTATCTGAAGAGGCCCATCTGCACTCGTCACGTCGAACATGATGCGCAGTGACGGCAGATGGCGAGCGAGATTATATAGGGCGAGGGGAGGGCGCATTTGAAAGCTTTCAGCCCATCATCGGTGCTGAAGCTGCAACGTTCTCCGCGACACTAGCCATGTAAGTTCCCCTTGCCTGACTCATCCGAGAGAGAATAACGGGCCGTTAAAGAATTACGTCACGCTATTTTGTACAATTTTTCGACCCCCCAGTCAGAAATGTTCCATCTAAAGAACGTCGAAAATTGGTCTAGGTCTATTTTCAAACCATTTAGATGTCTATGTAGACGTCTTTTTAACTTACTCCTGTTGTCACAATTGGTCACAAATTCGCCTATCCTCTCCCCCTAAAAAGTCTGAGTAGTTTGTAAACGGCCCTAAAAGAAGTGATTGCGCAGGAGGTCTGTGACTGTGATGAATAATACTCCAACTCGAGCTGCATAAATAAAGCTCTGTCATAGGGATATAAGTCATACTATGAACGTGTCGGTTCGGACCCAGTCGTGCGTAGTAGTGTTTTTTTCTCCTCTCATTTGACCGCGTACCTTGTCCAGGATGAAACTGACGGTCGTGCTGCTCGCGGCCCTGCTGGGCCTCGCGGCCGCCCGCACCTCCATGCCACACCACCCTCTCTCGGAGGCGGCCATCAACCACATCAACTCACAGCAGTCCACCTGGAAGGTAAGGTCCACGATCCCACCGCGCTCCCCCCACAGAGCGCCCACAGAGCGGTGGGTGGGCGACCCGCTCCACACGACTCTGTCGGTTGTCTGTGCTGCCTACTCTGCTCTCCGAGCGCCTGTCGAGAGTAGGAAATCGGCCCCCACACGAGTGTGTCGGTTCTGCCTACTCTGCTCCCTGGGCGCCTGCGGATCACTGGGTAGGCAAACCCGCTCACCAGGGGTGAGGCGGCGTTGCCTACTCTTCCACCCACGGAGCGCCTGCCGAGCGCTGGGTAGGCAACCCACTCCACACGAGTGTGTCGGAGCTGCCTACTCTGCTCCCTTAGCGCCTGCGGATCACGGGGTAGGCAAACCGGCTCACCAGGAGTGAGATGGCGTTGCCTACTCCAGTGAGGCGTTACTCCATGGAGTGGGTGCACCCGGAGCGCCTGCCGAGCGCTGGGTAGTCAATCCGCTCCACGTTGGCGCGGCAGCGCTGCCTATGCCGGTCGGTGACCCTGAGGGTTGACCCCGAGGGTTGACCCAGCCGACTAAACGTGCCATCCTCTAACTTCCTGCAGGCCGGGCGCAACTTCGCACCCGACATCTCCATGAACTACATCCGCAGGCTGTTGGGTGCCCGCCGTGGCCCCAAGCCCGCGGAACTTCAGCTCCCGACCCTGGAGGTGAGCGAGGAGGACCTCCTCGGCGACAACATCCCCAAGACCTTTGACGCCCGTGAGCAATGGCCCAACTGCCCTACCATCAGCGAGGTCAGGGACCAGGGCTCCTGCGGATCCTGCTGGGTGAGTAGACTTGGCGTTAGCATACGCGTTAGCGAAAGCTTTCGCTGTTGCATCTGCCTGCTGCCTCGGCGCGACAGTCAACTAACTAATTGTTACTCTTTGCGCAGGCTTTTGGCGCCGTTGAGGCCATATCCGACCGTATCTGCGTCGCCTCCAAGGGCCGCGTCAAGCCCCACCTCTCCGCCCAGGACCTGCTGACCTGCTGCTACTCCTGCGGCGACGGCTGCAACGGTGGCTGGCCCGTCGAGGCCTGGCAGTACTGGGTGCGCTACGGCATCGTGACCGGCGGCAACTACAACACCTCCGTGGGCTGCCTGGACTACTCCATCGAGCCCTGCGAGCACCACACCACCGGAGACAGGAAGCCGTGCGGCGGCGAAGAGGGCACCACCCCCCGCTGCGCGCGCAAGTGCCAGAACTCGAGCGTCAACTACCGCAAGGACCGCCACTACGGCAAGAAGGCCTACCAGGTCTCTGGCGTTGCGGCCATCCAGAAGGAGATCATGACCAACGGACCCGTCGAGGTCGACTTCGACGTGTACGCCGACTTCCCCAACTACAAGTCCGGCGTCTACCAGTTCCTTACCGGAGAGTACCTGGGCGGCCACGCTGTGAGGCTGCTTGGCTGGGGCGAGGAGAACGGCGTCCCCTACTGGCTCATCGCCAACTCCTGGAACAGCGACTGGGGTGACAAGGGATTCTTCAAGATCAGGAGGGGCACCAACGAGTGCGGCATCGAGTCTGATGTCGTCGCTGGCATCCCCAAGCTGTAATCGCATCCCCGACCTGCCTACGCGTCATCTGTCGTCAATAACGCCGACCTTCGCCCCCACTCGGGACCAAATGGTTGACAACACTTTGCGATGACTTGCTTGTTAAAGACCCTTGGCGACCTACTGTCCATCTCATGTACCAAAGAGTATCGAGTGTTTAAATAAAGAAAATGCTCAAAATCAGTACATTGTCGTATTACTGCATTGAAATTTAGAGAAATCCTTTTAAGTCATAAGAAAAAACAAAGCGAGCCCTGATTTTTGGACAGTGCCCAAGACTGTCTCGAAAGGATTGTGCTCCCCCCCCCCCCACCTCCTCGCTCTTTTCCCTTTACAAAGAACAGGGCCGCGAGAAGCTCGGGTGTAGGGATGGAGCGTCGTTTTTAACACCTTTAATAACTGGAGACAAGGTTAAGATATGTCACTCTGTTCAAGCCACACGTCGTTAATCAAAGCCACAATTTTTTTCTTTTTTTAAATACCTGAAATATGTATTTGTCGAAGTATTTGTATACCTGCTCTGCTGTGAGAGGTATTGATTGTGGAACTCAATTATCAGGACACACACGTCAGTAGTTGTTCGTTATCTTTGACCAATTATTGTGTCTCTGCACGCCCTCTCGACATTGCCGGGCACACGCCTCACGGTCTCAGGCAGAGATTGCGTTCTTGAGTGCTTCTAATCATTCAATCATTCCTCGAGGAGGGACAAAATGGCGTGCCACCGTCCTGCGGGGGCGCGGAATCAGGGAGAAGGAAACAACGAAAATCCAGGGGAGGGGAGGGGAGGGCGGGAGAAGAGGGGGAGGGAGGCGCAAATTTCATACCTTGGTATGCTAACAGGTGGGGGATGAAATTGGAAGCCAGTAAAAACTAGGCCTATATAAAGATTCTTCATTAATTTTTCGTGTTTTTTTTATTTTTATTTTTTTTGTACTGGGGGCATAGTTCATGATTTCAATTGTCATGCTTATCTCCTGTTCCGCACTTACAGTAATACAGCATTGCAGCTCGAGTGTTCAAGACGACTCGCTCCACAAGTATATAACGGTCGGGCCGAGGGACGGCGATTAGCCTCTCTTCACTGTCGGGGCTCCTTGGAACTGCACAGCTCCAACATGTGAGTAGCACCGGTCCTCTACGAAAGACACGAAAAGGGATTCACCTATTGATTTAAAGATTTAATGTCGAGCCGGGATGAGTGGTGAACAGTACTAGAAACTGCAGTCAAAATTTGGATGGATGGGCATCGCTGTAACTTCCTGCAACCGAAAATGTTTTGAGAATTTTCGCAATGCTTTTTTACGTACCAGGACCGCGCGGGTAGGTCGCATCGAAGCACTCTTTACAGATGTACCGCAGGCTTGCGTGCCTTCTGCCGCTCAACAACGCCAACAACGGCTTACAGAACACGTTTTGGTCTAAATAATATCAACTGATGTCAGCGTCAAAATTTTGTCTTTTGGTGGTCTGCCTTGACGTCAATTTGACATCGCGTAATGTCATGTGCATGTAATATCAAGATGCGTCGTCAAATCAGGCCAAAATTTTAACACGTTCTCTGGGCTTGGTCTCGAGAGGAAAGGCAAACCGGAGACGCGCCTGCATGCGGTACATAAATGACATTAGGCTTTAGTCACAACCACGTACCCACCCAACGAGAACATGACATCAAAATTGGGTCAAAAGAGGGTCATTGACGGTCATTTTGACGTCTAAGTCCATCTCCAGAAAGACTATGCTTTGACGAAAACGGTCAAAATGACATCACTTTGACGTTATTTTGACTTCAAGTGTTCTCCTTGGGCACGTCCACAAAACGTCACGTGACGCCAGTGCGGGGTCTAGCGTCGTGTCACATTTTAAGTATGAAGTTAATTTAATCTTAATGCTGCCCTGGCCTAAGTTTATTTTTAAACGGCAAAAATCAACTTAAAACACGCCTTTTAATTTCTCAAAACAAAGCGTACAAAAAAGCATACTCTAAAAATGAAGAAAATGTGACGTCAAAAAGAAGTAAAATGGTTGCCTCACGTGATGCACCGTGGACATGTGGGCATGGGCCCCGGAGGAGGAGAGTAGGTATCGCTAGACGCAATACGTGGACAACCCCTTCACGGTACACGCAAACTGTCAGCAAAGCGCGGCCATCAGATTGAAGCCAATTGCAATACGTTGCAAAGTGGGGGCTCCGTTATCTCTCCGAACGCGTGGCAGATGGTTATCGCTACCCACTTGCCATGCTTGCAATCGGAACACCCTCTCATCACCCTTCTCCCCTCACCACTCCTCCCTCTGCTACAGGATGAAGATCGTGGCCCTCTTGTTGGTGGGCCTGGTGGCCCTCTCCGCCGCCCTGGAGAAGCCCCACTTCCTCTCCGACACTGCCATCCACCGCATCAACTCCCTCAACACCACCTGGACGGTGAGTACCCCTACTCCTCGCCGTTCTCGCTGCCCCGGCTGCACCAGTACTGACGCGCACCCTCCCCATCCCCGCACCCCCAGGCCGGCCGCAACTTCGGCCCCCACGTGACCACGGAGTACATCAAGAAACTCCTCGGTGTCCGCCCCGACGCAGGCAACCAGCGCCTCCCGGACGTCGCCCCCCACCTCGCGATCGCCGACGAGGACATCCCCGCCGAATTCGACGCCCGCACGGCGTGGCCCGAGTGCAAGACCATCTCTGAGGTCCGCGACCAGGGCGGCTGTGGCTCTTGCTGGGTGAGTCGATGAACAACATCTTGGAGTAGATTTCGAGTAAAGCTTCCATCAGTGCTTCAACTTCAACTTCAATGAGGCGCCGAGCTGAAAATGGGATGGGCATGGGCTGACGGACCACGCTAACTAACGCTCTTTGCAGGCTCTCGCTGCCGTCACCGCTATGTCCGACCGTGTCTGCGTCGCCTCCAATGGCAAAACTCAAGTGAGCCTCTCTGCCGAGGACTTGGTATCCTGCTGCCGCATCTGCGGTATGGGCTGCAATGGTGGTTACCCCGCCATGGCCTGGCAGTACTTCAAGCACTGGGGTCTCGTCTCCGGTGGCTACCTGCCCGACAAATCCGAGGTAAGAACCGCACCTGACCAGACCACCTCTGACAGCTGGCCGCGTTCCTACTCGTTCTTACCCTATCTCTTCTCGCAGGGCTGCCTGGACTACTCCGTCCTGCCCTGCGAACACCACACCGCCGGCCCCCGCGGCACCTGCGACGAAGGCCCCACCCCCAAGTGCACCAGGAAGTGCAGCGCTGCGTCTGGCCTCACCTACAAGAAGAGCCTGTACTACGCCAAGAGCGCGTACTCCGTCAGCTCCGACCCCAAGGCCATCCAGAAGGAGATCATGACTAACGGACCCGTCGAGGTTGCCTTCAGCGTCTACGACGACTTCCCCAATTACAAGGACGGTATGTGTCGTTTACCATCCGATTGTCGTCTTAGAGTATGCTTGGTGGCCTACCTGCTGGGCTGAGGTGGCTCTATCACTCTGCCACTCTATCACTCTGATTATCTCCTGCACAGGTGTGTACACCAAGACCAGCAACACCTTCCTGGGTGGTCATGCAGTCAGGGCTATTGGCTGGGGCGAGGAGAATGGCACACCCTACTGGCTCATCGCCAACTCCTGGAACACCGACTGGGGTAAAGATGGTCTGTTCAAGATCAGGAGGGGCACCAACGAGTGCGGCATTGAGGGCCAAGTCGTCGCGGGCATCCCCAAGGTCTAAGCAAGGGTCTAAGCTCTACCTGAACCGTTCAAAGATTATTGTAAATTGTTTTCACGAATAAATTGCACATAATCATACGTCATACGTTCTCACAAATTAAATCTGGTACCGAGCATAACACACCCACCACCCAGTGGTCCTCTCAACGATACTACTGGCCTACTCCGCCATGCCCTCCCCCTCCCCACACGTCGACGACGTCCCTTTTTCTAGCTACCTACACAGTTGTTGCTACAACTGACACCTCCACATGCAGCTTCATCATACCGAGTGCAGAAAAAAGATAAAGTCCGCTCGGAGCCGTAAATGCCACAAAATTGTGGCCACAATTCCGGCGGTCAGAGTTAGCTTAATCCGACCTGAGTATAGAAGATATTTTTTCGGGCAACATGATATTCGATGTCACCATGGTGTAAGTAGAAGCCAAGTCCTTGCTCTGTAGATAATCCCTGACAAGCCGCAGCTACACAAGTACTATGGGGCGTGGGAACACTCTCATCCTGTTACTGATTTTTTTCACCTTTTGTCAGTATTCCTGCTGCGTAAAACCCTTTATATGCTACTGACAACTGCTTTCATCAGCAATACGAAAGTTTTTCTTTTATCAGTGAGTTACTTACAACGATACAGAATAAGTAACAAATTAGTCAATAATCCTGCTGCATATAAACCTTTATAAGCTACAAATAAATAAATCAGTACAGGTCTGAGAGTGAACCCATAGAGAAATCTAGCGAACTGGTTGCCTACCCCATGGCGCCCCCAGCACTTTTCAAAACACGTGGACCATGGAGGCGAGATGCAGACTGGCGCTCCTCTAGGGTACGAGCCATTCTACACCGTCGCTGAGGGCAGAAACAATTTTAAGTCTGGAAGAAATATTTTGTTCACGCAACATATACCTATTTGTGCGCTTCAACATATCAAAATATGGCGATAATATTTTTTGGGGTTCCGTTGGTGAGAGGTCCGCCCAGACGGAACCGGTACCCAAAGTGCCGCACTGGCCCTGCACCCGGAAGTTTGGAGGTGGATACACGAGACACCGTCGTACCGAGTCAAGCCCAGAGTAAGACTGTTAAGGGTGAAGGCAATCCATTTTATTCCCACATTCATTTACCTATTTGTGCGTCTTGAACAACTTGTTGGACAAAATTTCCCTTTGACGGAGATTCGAATAACTGACCTTCGAGTCTCAAGTGCCTTACTGGACGGGCCCGGCTCCGGTGCCATATATTTGAGGCTTCCGCTATCCGACCAGTGTGTTCGTTATCTACCATTGCGAAGTTGCTAAGTTCAGCCACTGCAGAGAGGTATCATGGCGCCCCATGCATAGGCAACATCTTGCCTGTGGTGCTTTCGTGTACTGCGGGGTGGCCTACCCGAAGTCTCGCAGGCGCCGTACTGTCGTAATCTGCCAAAATGATCGAATGGATATGAGAAACGGATGTAAATTACAGACAATCCCTAAAGAGAGCACTGTACTCAGTGCAGTGTTGCCGATAAGATGTTGCTAGATGGTTTTCCAAATGCCAAACTTTCAACGAGTCGCAGCCGCTCGCGGTAGAGGGCCTAACACACTCTGTCAACTCAAAAGCATGCATTGTATGCCATTTATAAATGCGTACATGGCCATGTATACATTAATTTAAGTATACATACCATGTACGCTTTATTTAAAGTGTACAATGAACGCATTTGAATTGACAGAGCAGGTCTTTAGTGGCTTACATAGAGGTTGTGACCACAGGCGGCGTCCAATAAGTTGCCTACCCTGAGGCGTTACAAGCAACACGCAAACGGCAGCTGGCGGACCTAGACGTGGAATGGAAGAGACTGTTGACGTTTCTTTGTTTCTGCGCGGCTATGCGGTCGGTTCAGCGTACTCTTGCCTTGCCCCTCCCCCCC